AGTAGGGGTTTCAGAAGGCAGTTTAGAGAACCTGCTTTCCCAGAAGTGTCTCCTGAAGAATGACGTGTGAAAGGAGCTTTTCCAGCACCCATCTGCGTGCGAGTTGAGACAAAGCATTGGTCAGACTGTAGAGAAATGGATGATAAAGAACTGTAATACAGATATCTGACAAGGAATTTTTTTTTTTCTTTATTAGTTGTTTTACAGTAAGATATAGATAGAAGCCTTAGCTGAGATCAGTTATCTGTTGCTGTAGTCACTGTAAGGAAACATTTCCCAAACAGCTATACTCTAAATGGGCAAAGCAGGCAGAGGATGAAGAAAAGGATTATCTCCTTGTTTTGACGGGGACAGTACTGATAAGTGAGTTGCCCAGGGTCAAAGAAGTTGTTTGTGGCAGAGCCAGATGTCCTTGGTCTCCCTCCTTTCTTTCCTAACAACAGAATTGTCCTAGTTTTCCTGATTTATGATCAGGAATTCATTAAGGTAAATGAGTAATAATGATAATTCTGCTTCTTTATATCTGCAGATCGCCCAGGCCTTGTTTGCGTTGAGAGGATAGAAAAGTGTCAAGAGGGTTTCCTCCTGGCATTCGAACACTACATTAATTACAGAAAACACCATGTTGCGCACTTTTGGCCAAAACTGCTGATGAAAGTGACAGACCTGCGAATGATCGGAGCCTGCCATGCCAGCCGCTTCCTGCACATGAAGGTGGAGTGCCCCACAGAACTCTTCCCGCCCTTGTTCCTGGAAGTGTTTGAGGATTAGAGACTGGAGCGGTTCTCCACACCCCCCCGTCGCACTACTGGCTGTCGTTTCATCCCGTTGCCCGGCTCTTCTCACCTCTGTTCTTCTTCTTTCATTCTCTTCTGTTTCTCCAGGCGGGGTTGGGGTTTTGTTTGGGTTTTCATTTGGGGTTGCTAAGGGGCAGTTGTATACACATGGATGAAAACACCCCTTTAATGCGGGTACTTGTGACTATTGCAATTTGTTCTTCAGTCCTTTGATGTGAATGCTTTGACAGCTTATCAGTGAAAATACAAACAGACCAGTCTCATTCACCAGCATTTGCATGGTCACCAGCTCACACACATCATTGCTTGGAAAATATGGGAGAGAAATTAAAGTGGCAGAAGATAAATTGGCCGCCAAGTTAAAACAGCTATTGTTAATTTGACCTTGGCAATTCTGTCTGGTATTACCTCATTTTGCAGGGCATAAGTGACCATTTCATGAGATTAAATTTCTACTCTTCATGGTTGTTTCTGTTTTAACAATCACCGTTATGATCTAGGATCTTCATCATCATCACGATCGCATCATTATCTAAGAGTTGTTCCAAGCAGATATAGTTTAACTGTGCCCCATAAATCAAGTACTTAAAATAATGCAACGTGTTAGAAGGGACTGACTCATTTTTTTTCCATGTGTGTAAGAAAGTAAGATCCTTCAGTTCTTACTACATTTGAACTCCAAGGAACTTCACTGCAAGGTCTGTTGGAGTGAGGAGAGGAACTTGATCCTCTGAAGTGCTTTTCCTGAGGGTGGAGAGGTCTGCTTTCTCTGAGGTGCGTGGAAAATTCAGCACTCTAAAGGAGAAGGCTGTCTGTCAGGATAGCAGGCTTTCCTCGGGGTTATTCAGGGATGTGAATGCTCACAGAATGAGGACAAGGATAATGAAACATACAGGGTGACCTCCAGATGAGACAGAAATCAACCGTGTTCTTAACGACACTCAAGACTATATGGCTTTATCCCAGTAGTACACATATTGTGGCTTGGCAGTAATCGTTTTTTATATATATATATA